TTCACTTAATTACAGGAGAAGGTGTGGAACATTAATATGTTCCCCTTCTCTAAAACATTTGCATGTCAAATAAAGTGAGTTAGCAAGTTAAAAAGATACAAACAAAACACTATGCTTCAAATAGCCAATTCTGAATCTCTTTGTGAAGTCATGGTTGGAACAAAGGCTTAATCCTAAGAGTAGTTAAAAAGGTAATAAAAAAATAAGGGCTTTTAAAGCATCATTTCTAGAAACAATTCCATAAAGAAGCTTCCAAAATCTTCTTGCCGCATGTGATTCTTGTTTTAAGGCAGAATTTCCTCATAAGTCGCATATTTATAATGAGGAACTTCTTTAAAAACATGTGCATTTATATTTTAAAGTCTGTGATTTGCATCTCACAATATTTACTGCTCGTTCCTTTCCCCAAGTAAGGTCCCACAGTGGCTCTGAAAGGAGATGCTGCCTGCAAATATTGTTCAAATGTTCCTCCCCAAGGCCAGTGAGGAGTACTGCACCATCCAGTCGCACCTGCTTCCTGGGGGAATTTCTGTGCTCAGAACACTGGGAAATCACTGCTGTACGAAGGGCTCTTAAAGGATATCACACTTTTTAAAAATTATTATTTTCATGAGTTCTAAAAACTGAAATATTTGATACTGAAATTTCAGTTGATAACTGAAATATCCTGACACAACTCAGCACTCACAAAACAATTTCCACTGCCAGAACTCACAACTTTCCTGTGAAGGTGATCAAGTATTATCTCTATTTTCCATGGGAACAATAATAATCATAGAATCATAGAATCAACTGGATTGGAAAAGACCTCCAAGATCATCAGGTCCAACCCTACCATCATTACTAGACCATGGCACTAAGTGCCACATCCAGTCTCATCTTGAAAACCTCCAGGGATGGTTATTCCACCACCTCCCTGGGCAGCACATTCCAATGCCTGATCACTCTCTCCATAAAAAATCTCTTCCTAATATCCAATCTAACCCTCCCCTGGCAGAGCTTGAGTCTGTGCCCTCTTGTCCTACTGCTGGTTGCCTGGGAGAAGAGACCAACCCCCACCTGACTCCATCCTCCTGTCAGGGAGTTGCAGAGGGTGATAAGGTCTCCCCTGAGCCTCCTCTTCTCCAGGCTAAACAACCCCAGCTCCCTCAGCCTCTCCTCATGGCACTTGTGCTCCAGTCCCTTCACCATCCTCATTGCCCTTCTCTGGACCTGCTCCAGCACCTCAATGTCCCTCCTGAACTGAGGGGCCCAGAACTGAGCACAGGATTCAAGGTGTGGCCTCACCAGTGCTGAGTCCAGGGGCAGAATCACCTCTCTGGTCCTGCTGACCACACTGTTCCTGATCCAGGCCAGGATGCCATTGGCCTTCTTGGCCACCTGAGCACACTGCTGTCTCCTGTTCAGCTTTCTGTCTATCCAAACTCATAATGATGACATAAAGATCCCATTTCCCCAAACTTTAAGGATTACTAATTTACTCAGGACACTGATAGATCTTCAGTACTTTGTTAAGCCAAGACTAAATAATCTGCAGATCACAGTCACTGGCAGATTTGGGAACACCACTCAGTTCTCCTGACTCTCTACTTTTACTCCTGGTTTTCCATGTTATGAGTTAACTATAATTCACTACATGCTATTCTTGGTGCAGTTCCCTTTGCATTTCAGAAGAATTACTGAGCTCCTAAACTGGCTGTCAGAGTCACTGACTTGGTAACTGGCTCGATTTCAAAATGGGTATTAAATATATATTAAAATCTTGCCTTTCCTGGCTATTTCTGCAATAAAACTGTATTTTAATATAATAAATTTTGTGATCTTACTTATAAAACAAAAGTTAACAGAAAAAAATGAAACATATTATCAGTCACACTGTAGAGACTACTAAAGAAAACACATGTAAAGGCAGCAGGACCCAGCACAAAGGGCACTGAACTGAGGCACAGACAGCAAAACTTCCCCTTTGCTTAAATAAGGTCAGGCTTTCAGTTTTTCAGCTCATTTACTTCCAGCTCTCTGTAAGAGAGAACTCTGTAATCTCAATTTCTCTCTCAATTGGTTTCAAAATGTGTAATTACTATTTTATTTCCTTCTCTCCACAAGGATCCTTAACACCAGTAAGTTAAATTAGTCACAGGTCCCACATCCATATGGAGGACCATACACAGGCACAGATTTGAAGCTCTGTTTAATTACACTTTAAATATTGCACACGGAATCACAGGCCTTGATCCTCCTCACGTCAAAGAATGAACTTCCAGACAGACTCTGGGTGGGAGCAGGAGTGACTAAATGCCCTTTACATTAAACACACCCCATAGATTGGAGCTGTAGCCTAGATCCCTTTCAGAACTAGCTGCTCGTGCAGCTTATTTTTGTCTTGGTCTTTATGCTTTTATTTGTTCCATTCTAGGGATTTCACTGCAGTGGCAGTGTGGGAACTCTCATTTCAGGTCACACAAGGTGTGTGATCAGGGCAACAGTAACTACGCTGTCAACTTGCTTTTGTCATTTAGGAGCCTACAAAAACCAGCTTGGCCACAGGAACAGAGAAACTCAGCACACAAACATCTATTCAAAAATCAGATGCACAAAACCTTTTTTTTAATCCCTAATTATGTGTGAAAAACATGGAAGAAGCTTTCCTGGTGGAATATCTTTACATATCACAGACTTCTGTTTTGTTATTAAGCTTCACCCGTTGCTAAGGAAGAAGAGAGGATCAAAGGAGTTCTAACAACTAGGAAAGCAAAGGTGAGGGAGTTTTGATTTCTTTCTCGTTCTTTAAAGATTTATCACTGAACTACAACAGTTGTTGGTTCATAGCTCTGTGAAAAGGATGAAATGATGTGAACCTGCTCTGCTGTTTCCTATTTACCTTCAAACAATCCCTCGATTCTCTTCTTGATTAGCAACATGATCATGCATTCCAGCAGCCTGTTTACAAATCCATATGCAATCCAAGTCCTGAGGACCAAAAAGCAAGAGCTAGTGGAAGGCATAAACGACCCAGAGCAGCTCCTGCACTGGCTGATAGAAAATGGTATTTTCACTCCAGAAAAAAAGGTGGTCATGAGTTTCTACAGGACACGAACAGCAAAGAACTCTCGGGTGTTGGATATGCTCATTTCCCAAGGGGAACGAGCCTGCAGGCTCTTTTTTTATCCATGTTTAAAGCAAGTGGAGCCAAAGCTTTACAGCAAGATAAGAAAATATGTTGGTGAAGTAAATGAAAGCATTGGAGATGCCAGGAGACAGTTGGTTGGATATTTACTTGAAAAAGACAAGGTTTGGTTTGAAAAGAGCAGCAAAAGGCACCAGGGGAAAAAAGAGAGTCCTAGAAGAAAACAGCATGAAGGGATTATTAAGAAAGGGAAAGAAGCTCAACTGTCAAGGGCAGCAAAGCCTAGAAAAGATGGTGCTGCTGTTGATATCTTTGCTGCTGTTGCTAAAGGATCTATTTCTGAGTTGGAGAGAACACTGAAAGACAATGGTATCGATGCATTGAACTCTTCCAGTGAGACACTTCTGCATGTTGCAGCTGCTCACGGACATGTACCCATCATGGAATATTTGATCAGCAAAGGTGCAAGGACAGGGGTGAAGGACAGGAAAGGCAGAACAGCTCTGCACAGAGCTGCTGAGAAAGGCCATGGCAATGCAGTCAAAGTGCTGCTCCGAGGCAGAGCTTCTATGTACAGTTTGGACATGGAAGGCAAGACACCACTTCACGTGGCTGCAGAGAACAACCACAGTCACATACTGAAGATGCTCCTGAAGGAAGAGGCAAGAAGCTGCAGGAACCAGCAGCACTTCTTGCACATGGCAGCTGCTAAAGATGAGAGTCGTCTGGCCAAGATGCTTTTAGAGGCTGGTGCTTCCCCAGATGGAAAGGATGAGAGAGGACAGACTGCTCTGGGTTATGCTGTTTCTCAGGGGGCTGAAAACACTGCAAAAGTACTGCTAGAAGCTGGAGCCACTCTTGATTCCAGCATGGTGGAAAGAGCCTTTAACAGCAACCACCCATCCATCCTCAAAACACTTCTGGAATACTCTAAAGGTTTGCCACCTGACATCATGGAGGCAGCTCTTTTTAGAGCAGTGCAGAAGAACCTGCCTGGTGTTGTGGCAGCTTTGGTCAACAGAGGCACAGATGTCAATGCCCGCAATGAACTGCAGTACACTCCTCTGCTGCTGGCGTGTGAAATGGGCAATGCGGAGTCAGCACAGCTTCTGGTGGAAAAGGGAGCAAACCTGGGAATAAGGACTCCTGCTTCAGACACAGCTTTGCATCTGGCAGCTCAGGCTGGAGCTGCTTCCATCACAGACCTGCTCCTGCGCCAAGGAATGGACCCAGAGCTCAGGAACGAAGCTGAGGAGACACCTCTCCACACTGCTGCACTCCACAACAAGGGAGCGCTCGTTGGCCTTCTGGTCAGTGCTGGGGCCAAAATTAATGCTGTCACCAGAGACTCTGTTACTGCCCTGCACATTGCAAGCCAAAGAGGTAACACTGATGTGGCCCAACAGCTGTTGCAGCACAGAGCCCATGTTAACATTCAGGATAAGCAGTCAAAGTGCCCTTTACACTTTGCTGCTGAGAGGGGAGACAGAACTATGGCAGAGATGCTCCTGAGGGCTAAAGCTGACCCCAATGCACAGGACAAGGAGAAGAAGACTCCCCTGCACACTGCAGCTCTGAGAGGACACCTCAGCATCGTGGAAGTGCTGTTGGCTAACAAAGGGAGGTGTGGAGCTAAGGACATGGATGGCTGCACGGCACTGCACTGCGCTGCCATGAGAGGAGACACAGAGACCGTAAAAACTCTCCTGGAGTCAGGGAGCAACAAAAACATCGATGGCAGAAATGTTTGGAGAAAGACAGCCCTGCATGTTGCAGCAGAATATGGACATGGGGAGTTGATAGAGCTCCTCCTGAGCCATGGGGCAGCCATCAATGCCTTGGACAGCAGCAAGGACACTGCCCTGCACTGTGCCTGCAGGGCTGGCAACCTCCGTGCAGCAAACTCCCTTCTGAGCTGGGCACGGGGGGAAAGGGCAAATCTGCTTGCTGCCAACAGTCTCCACAAGACACCACTGCAAGTGGCAGAATGCAGTGAAACAAGGAATCAGGCACAAATTGTGAGGCTTCTGAAAAAGAAAATGTTACTAATGAAATGAAGGTGTAAACCAAAAACTTCTACATTTCAAAACCTCTAAATAAAAGGGCAGAATTCTCTTTTAGTGTAATTTGGGTAGTGCTGTTACCCAGCAGGACTGAGCATTATTGCTGGGCAGGCAGAATTGTGTTAGCAAAGGTGGTCATGGCAAAAAGGGATCTTATAGACACTGTTAAACTTCTACTGATTGGTCTTTGGCTTCCCTCATGAATCTCATACCTAAGACCTGTTTAAAAAGCACCAGCCTTAAACACTGTGTGTGTGACCTTCTCTAGCATAAATCGAGACTTAAGAAAAGAGACAGAAAATAACTTTTCATATATCTGTGAACATTAACCTGTTTGCACAGCTTAGCCAAGCACTGTTTGGTAAAATCACAATTAAAATCCCATCTATTCTGTATGAGGAGATGTCACCTCAAGGAACTCCTGAGACTGTAACAGTTATTAACAACTGTTTTTCTTTCTGTCTTTCATGATTTGTCAAGATTTGCATTTTTAAGAAGAGATGACAAAACCTATCACACTTGTCATTTGGTAATTTCACCTGGAAATCCATCCCAGCACAAAGATGAAACGTTTGGAATAAAAAGGTTGCAACAGAGATAGTTGGTTCTAAATATTTGTATTGTCATCTCTTGAAATAAACCACTTTTTTTTGTTGAGTGGGCAGAAGGTTCTCTGTGTTTGTTCTATACACAATGATAATCAATCCTTACACTTCCCTTTGGTACATGACTACAAACCTAATTACCAGGAATGTCCAAATCCTTCTGGTAAATGAAACATGGATTTAAGAACATATGGCAATAAAACTGGGATTTTTTGGTGTTAATAATGCAACACTTTAATTGCCCCACACAATGCCCTGCTGCTGTCATCCTCTACATGAAGGAACAAACATGACCATATGCTTGAAGGACACAGGGAGCACAGCCTGCATGGGCTCACGGAACCATTTATGTTGGGAA